TAAGCAAGATAAATCCTTTTCATTTCAATAAATTCAAGTGATTCTGTATTTCGGGTTAGCTCAGTCTTGCACAGACATGCATAGACATGAGGGATCTTCTTGCACAATTATGTGCTGCAAGGTAACTTTTTATTGGAAGACTTCTTTTTCTGGGATACACACATAACTTGGAATATTGACTAATTCAGGTGGAGATAAAACCATATGTAATAGCCCATAACCTATTTGGAAGTTTCACTGATACGAGTTCCATCATTGGAGATACCCCACATAAAATAAAATGGCTACTAGCTCCTGTTGGTGTCATGGACTTTAATGAAGACATATGATTCTTTAAGTTGACCATATAATTGTGTTGGTTCCACCTTCGACATGCGAAAACGATGCAAAACCATTTCCCATTATCTTTTGCACAATTTTGTGTTGTTATGTTAGTGGGGTTTTCGAATTTGTTAAAGAGAAGGGAAAGGTAAGGAGGGTTACCAAATTCACATCTGCAAGCCATTCAACAAGAACCAACGATAAAAGAGAAACACAAACTAATGAGATTCTGTGTTATTTACGGCGATATCTTTCCCTTTTTATTTTTGTTTGTCCTTTTGACTTCACCTTTAGAAAATTAAATGCATGTTAAATTATTTTTTATTAACCATAATTGTGTAATAAGTGATTTACTTTTTAAAATTAATTTTTTTATTCATCTAAATTCATAGTGTGTATAAAAATACTACTTTATTTATTATTTGACTTATTAGACTTCGTATTATATAATTTTATTATTTTACAAAAAAAATTTATAAGTACATAAAAACTAATATTTTTTATTAACCTTAATTAGAATTAAGTTTAGATATTTAAAATTACATTTTTTAAAATATAATTATTATATTAAAGATATAAAAATATAATAAATATTTTTAAATTAATATAATTATTATTTTTATATTAAAATTTACTTTTTTTACAATATTATAATATAATATTTTTATTATTATTTAATATTATTAACATTTATTGCTATAATTTTTAATTTAAACTTTTATTATCAACTCTATTTATTAAAAATAAGTTAAAAATAATAATAAATGTTTTATAAAAGCTTCTGTAGAGTATAATATAATTAATAAAAATTATTAAAATTATATAACATGGTAGTATAAGTTTTTAGTATAATTTATTATATGCTAAATAAATTGTTTATTTTGTTTTGAACCTATAAGTTATTTTTAGAAGAGAAAACTGATTTTATTTTTTTGGATTAGTTTTGAATGATGAAATGACAGAGTAAATTTCAGTGAATTCATGTGATGAGGATACTAATAATTATATCTGAAAAAGGAAATTTTAATTTATAGATACTTAATTGAAATTTATTAAAAATTTGATCAGCAAAATGGTTTTAAAAGTAGTAGTATGAAGGATAGAAATATTTATAAAAAGTTAGAGAAACCATCAACGTTATTTTCAAGACGATGATTGGTTTGAAGAAGATTGTATAATTAATGGAAAAATAATGAACAAATAATAATTATGTGACTCTTCACAAGAGAGTAAGTTAAGTGAATGTGTTACTCTTGAGAATTGTGGCTCTAATTTATCTAATAAAAGTTAATAATTATTATCTATCATATATGTATATAAAATGAAATTTAAATATTTTGATTTGAATTTTAAAATTTTAAATCAAGAGATCACATAATTTTAAAAATTATTATTCTATATGTAGGAAACGAACCATCATATATGATTCCTATAACTTTAAATAATTGATAGTTGAAATTTATTATTTTATATTAAAAATAAATTATTTTCTATATCCCAAAATCTTTATAAATGATTACGCTAATGAAGTTGAGGTGGAGGAACAGGTTGATTAGTTTAAGTAATAAAACAGTAACTTAAGAATTTTAGTTTAATTAAAAACATCAGTCAAAACTTTAATTTAAAACTTAGCTAAAATTCTGATCTTTAATTTAAATATAAAAATTATATTTTACTAACTTGTTTATAATTTTATTATATCTTCCTAAAGTGAGAGACACATTCCTAATGCAGATGAATTGAGGTGAATATATTTCACCTGAAAAGGTAAAAAAAAAAATTATTATAGCAGTTAAAATAATTAAGAAATTAAAATATAATAAAAAATAATCTAACAATAAAAAATAAACATTTTTGATAATTTAAAATAAAAAATAATAAAATTTTAAAATATAATTTTTAACACACACATATATATAATAAATGAGAATACTTCATATAGAAATTAGAATATTTTTAGTGAGGTTATTCTTCTTTAAAGTATGTCATGTCAATTATTTTTTATCTATTTTTATTTTTTTAATTTTAGAAATAAAATTTATTATTTATTTATTTTTTATTTTCTTATATAAAATTTAATTTGTAAATGAATGTTAAATATATTAATTTAACAATTTAAAATATCTGTGCTTGAACTCGTTTAATAACCTTGAGAAAAGAAAATTAGCTTAAAATGTTGATTTTACACGTAAGGAGAGGTAACAAATTTGCTTTTATAATTTTGAAATTGTGAACGTTACATTTGGTGTATAATTGATAAGTGATAACTACTTCAAATTGACTTGGGTAGTTACAACTTACAAATAAAGAAAAAGAAATTTAATAAATGGAAAGTCGTGGATTTGGTGTTTGAACTTTTCAAGGGTCGTTAGATTTTCCAATTCAAGTCAATAGACTTTCTTTTATCAGAATCATATATAAAATATTACTAAAAATTTTACCTAAATTTATAACTCGCCAAAATAATATTTGCAAGATAAATTGAACTATAATGTATAGATATTTTATTAAAGTTGTCTTTATTAAAGTATCGTGGTTAATCTCAATTGCTTTTAAGAAATGCAGGCTTTAGATATAAAATATTATAAAATCCTACCATAAATGGTTTAGATTAATGCTTCTGCTTTTATATGTAGCCAAACAAAACGAAAAGTGATTTTTTATTTTATTTTACGATCTTAAAAATTAAAGTCTATATATATATAGACCGTACTCATTTCAATTTTTTCAACAACTAAAATAGTATTTTGATTTTATTTTAATTTCATTATATTTAAATTTGTATGTTATTATATTACTTTTTATCATACTACTTTTTTATGTAAAGTAAGACATGTCTTTTTCATTATCTAAAATTTTTGCGTCACTCTATAATAATAAAACAATGCATTCTACTGTTTATCATATTTGTTATCAAACAATTTACTTAAATTTATATTATTTATAGAATGTTTTGTATAACATTTTTTCTCTTTATGTCTCGTCATCATATTATTTTTTTCATCTTTTCTTTCTTATCTTTTTTATATTATAAAAAATAATATAATTTTTTTATTATAGAGGTAACAATTTAATTCATTTATTCATTAATTATTTAATTCATACGTGCATAAATCTATAAGTAACTCATCCAATTATAAAATTAAAAATTATCAGAGGAGTTATATAAGATTACTATTTGTTATTAAATGGATGATAAATCATTCATAATATTCTATAAGTAATTACATTAATTATTTTAAATTGTATTAATTTCAGTGTAAATCTTTAAATGATGGATAAACCTTATAATGTTTAATATGTATAAATGTAAAAATTCATTTCATAAAAACAAAATAAATATATTTGAAATGGATGGATTAGATGTCTCTCCATAAAAATAGCTGGTAGATATGTTGAATGTTTTTTTTATTAAAAATATTATTAATAGACTAATTTTTTAACACATTTTTAATCAATACATAATTTTTTTTTATCCATTCATTATAATTTAATTCAAAATATATTCAACCGTTTATTTTACTTCCATAAATCTACGTCAATGTCATCAATCACACTCAGATCATGCAATCTTTGCTTGCATTTATTTTAACTTGTTTAAATTTTAGGGAGATTAATACTATTTTGCCGAAACTTTAAAGATTATTATTATTTTCTCACCACCTAATATGTATACCTCTGCGGCTTTGCATGTACAATCTATTTTCGTATAAGAAGGAGTGATAAAATGAGATTGGTTAAATCATTTTTTTAAAGAGTAATTGGAGAACAAAATATCTTTTTTTTTTCTATTACTAGCAGATCAAGTCGAACTAACGATTCTTCAATTTGTGTTTCTTATTTAGTTATATAATTAAAACTTTTAATATTAAATTTAATAATTGAAAATGAATTTAAAACAAATTAATAAATTCAAAATATAAATATTACAAAGGGAAAAGAGCAGTTTCCAGAGAAAATTTCAAATCACACGACATATGTATGATAATAAATTATAATTATAAATAAATTACAATGATAAAACATGTTAAAAAAAATTTGTGGTCAGAGAGGCCATTTCCTTATTAAGTACCACTGTAGTGCTTTAATTGAGAAAATAAAAGCAAATAAATTTAATAAAAAAAGAAAGTGTTTATTATTATATGTAATCTCTTTGAGAATATCAACCTGCCTAATTTATAATTAATTATTTCCTTTCTTAAAATTAAAAACTACTTTATATAAGCACAACTTTTACCAAAACAACTCGAAACGACCACTTTCATGTTTCAAGATCAAATTAGACATTAATTCTTTATAATATTAATACTATTATTAGTAAACTTTTCATACATTTAAAAAATTATTAAATTTAAATAATTTTAAATATTTTTATTTTTAATAAAAATTATTAAATTAAATTAAATTATAAAAATTTAAATTCAAATTGAATTCATAAAACATTAAATGCTAACATTAAGGAAACCACTTAAAATAATAAAAAATATTTTTAACATATATTTTTTTCAAAATACATTTTAAAAATGTTCTTATTGAATGTAAAGAGATACAAAGATAAATGATTACTTTTATTATTATTATTATTATTATTATGGGTTTGTTTTTAGATTTCAATGTGAGACTCCGTTATCATATCAATGCAATCTCGTGAGTTTCTCTGTGCTCACACAGCACGTTTGTTTGTGTTGTTGTTGGCAGGGTCACTGTCCCCGCCTTCTCTTCTTCCACCACACTACTCTCCCTCTCATCCTTTATCTCTCCATTCTCAGTAATAAAACGACGCTACTTTCCTCAACCCCTTCCAAAACTTGACACTTTTCAAACTTTGCATTCATGGGCTTCAAGGGAATGCTCACCTAATCCACTCCACTTGCTCAAATCTTTATCCCCCAATTCCTTCTTTTGTTTTCTTGTTATATGCTCCTACACAAACCCCAAGGCTCCAACGTTTGAGGCATTTCATGTTTTGTTTCATCCTCTGAGAGAGAAAACATTGTTGTTGTTTCTTTGTTCTTCTCTTCTGGCTCCAAAAATGTCAACTTTGCAGATGTCACATGTTGATTTGGAGCAGGGGAATCATCGTCCTTCTGTTGTTGGGAGTGATGTGAGTGGTGAGGGGAGTTTGTGTTTTTCTGATGCTGATGATGGTTCTTGCTATTCTCGTTTCTACTCAACAAATGGTGGTTCATACGATGATTACAGCTTTGCTTGTGTTTCTGACCCTGAAGTTGGGGGTGTTCCTGAATCTGGTAGAGCTTCTTCTGTTTCTGATTGTTCTGTGGAGGTGGAAACTAGAAATGGGGTTCCTGAGATCAAGGTGCATTTGGCTAAAGTGGAGAGGGATTGTAGGATTTGTCACATGGGTTTGGAGAGTGAGAGTCATGAGTCTGGTGTTCCCATTGAATTGGGTTGTTCTTGTAAGGATGATTTGGCTGCTGCTCACAAGCACTGTGCTGAGGCGTGGTTCAAGATTAAGGGAAATAGGTCAGTGTTAAAACTAAAACCCTTTTCTTTCTTTCTTTCTTCCTACTTATGTTTGTGAGGTTTTCTTTTTATGCTGAATTTCGGATTTTTTGATAAATTTTAGACACCCTTTTGTTGATTCATGGCATTGAGAATTGAGAATTGGAACTTGTAAACTTAGTATGTATTGGTGCGGCCTGAAAAATTCACAATCAATGACAAAATTGTGTTTGATATTAATGATTATAGAATAGGAAAGTAATTAAGGTATATAGTGTGGAGTTTGAGTTGTGGATTGTTTAATCTAGTGATGAATGTAAAGCTGAAGAAGATGAAGGAAAAAGTGTATGGAAGCATATTTTAGAAGGTTTAAAGAACAAATTTGCAGGGAGGTAGGCTCAATTATTTCTTGAAGAAAGGGGAAAGTTATCAAAGGTTAAATTATTTAAAGAAGATGATGAAAAAAGAAAGGCGTAAAGCATCAGCCAGTCCCACTGATTCGCTGACATGTCTAACTAAGCACAGTGGGGGTTATTTGTTGCTTTGTCCCTTTTCTGAAATTTAGGAATCTCCATATTACTCTTCTTTCTTATTCTTTTTATCTCTTTCAAAGTGGAGATTTGACCCCTTCTGACTTCTATTCATGCATTCAAATATCTTGGTGGATGCTAGTTGCTTGCTGATGTGCCACCTAGAATATTTTAATCTACAAAATGACTGGTCCCAGATAATCTATTCATTTGTGATGTATGATGACACCTTTAAGATTGCATAATAGTTGTGACTAGTGAGTACCACAAGCTACTGATTTGTCGGTACAAATGTTCAGATCCCTTGTTTCAATCCTTTGAGGTCAAATAATTCCATACATCATGTTTAGGTTCAGCAGTGTCACCTGCAAATAATGGAATAGTGAAAACCTTTATGAAAAAATGGTTAATTGTAACCTCTAAATAACAAATCAAAGTGATGAGATAAGTTTTATGAAAATATGGTGGGGCATACTTTATATCAGGACTGGTGAGCATCAATGTTTCGTTGTCAATTTTAAAGCAATTTGTAGGGGCCATTTGTGAAGAAGGATCTATCATTGTATCTAATTAAAACGCAAATCCATCTAAGTGCATCATTTCATGGCTAAATTATATAATCCAATAATGCAGCAGAATTTGAATCTTTTCAATTTGGGAATCTTCTTTAATACATGTGTTGATGCCTTCGTTGGTGGCAGATAACTCATGATATCTTCTTTTGCTTGGTTTTGGGGCTTTAAAAATGCGACATGGTTTGTCAAAGACAATTGTGGATTGGGAAAAAGACAATTATAAACTTTGAATACAGAGATTTGAGTTGAACTAACTAGAGCTGAAAAACTATAAAAGTCACGAATTATTCTAATTTATTTAAAACCATCTGCCACAACAACTTAGTATAAACAGTTATGTTGGTTGATGGTTATCGTTGCTAAATTTAAATCTAATTCATTCTTTACAAGGGTGAGAGAATAATATCTCCACCCTACGACACTTCATATAATCTTATGTTTTCAGGTCATGCAAGTTAACAGTATGACCTTGTGTTTCCCACTTTATTCCTATCATTAAGATATAATTGGCAAGGAAGTTTGTTCTTAGTTTGCTTGCTTTTGTGGAGCATCCAATTCTAAAGCTGATAATAGTATAATAGTGTGCTTGGCATGTGATTATGTATATGATTGCAGATATTTGCCTTAACTGATTCGTCTTCAATTTTAAATTTGTATTCTTATAATTATTTCTGTTTGTTTAAATTTTAATAGGACCTGTGAAATTTGTCATTCCATTGCTCGGAATGTTCATGGAGCAAACGAGGAGTCAACTGAGCATTCAAGCGACAATAACAATGCAACTACAGCAGCCACACTCTCTATGCCTCCTCCTTCAGCAGAAACTCGAAGATTTTGGCATGGCCATCGCTTCCTGAATTTTCTGCTTGCTTGTATGGTTTTTGCGTTTGTCATATCATGGCTTTTTCACTTTAACGTGCCATCTTCCTAGTTTCCTGAGGCTGTTAGTTTTTAATCTAAAGTATATTTAAAGCTGAGTAGGGTGCAAACAAGAGAAAGATGAGAAGAAAAAAAAGAAATCCCACTCTATAATCCATGGAGAGATTTTATTAGAGATTGAATTCTTCTACAGTTTGAGGCCTTGTTGGGTTTATATAGGTAGCTGTACAGAGCTCTTCATTTTCTGTTATGCATTCGTCCTAAATTATTGAGCTTTACAAGGCTCTCTCCTATTCTGTCTTTCAGAATCAATGTAATTTCTGAACAAGTACTAGAATGTTTATTCAAATGTATATTATATATTATATTGTATTGTTACTCAAATCTTTCGGGTGAGGTGATTTCTCTAGTTATCTTGTTTAGAAGTTTTGTCTCTGAAGATTGCTTTCTGAAGATTACCTTCAGTACCTCCTTTAAATAAATGTGTATGACACAAAATATCCATTATGATAACATTGTTTGGGGTCTAATCTAACAAGTGGAAAAATTCTTAGGAAGATAATACCTACCACGTGCATTCCATTGAACATTAAACACGTGTAAGGTTGTGTGGACCATGTTAAGATTGCACTTATTTGTAAAGAATACTTTTAAATATAAAAACTATTGAATGAAGTGTTTATGTAATAAAAGGCTAAACAATTTGCTAATAAGTTAGAAGTTGGAAAATGGCTTCAACACACCCTTTGATAAAACAACTCCTTTACATCCCTGCCTTCCCAGCGAGGAGTCCCATCCTAGTGCTATAGTCTTTTTTGGGCCCCAATGAGGCCTACTTCTACTATCAATTAAAAATGTAATACTTTGGATCACTTTATTTTATATATATGTATATCACATGGAAACGAGGAAGTCTTCCTGTACTACTTTCTTCCTTGTGATTATTTATTTTATTTTTGAAAGCAGAATTAAAGTAGGAAAAATAACCATTATTTTAGGTATCTTTCTTTAAAGAGGAGGAATTACATACTCCAAGTTTTCTAAAAACTTTCATCAATGTGGGTACATTTCTTCACCACTAGAATGTTGAAATTTTTTTAGCTAAGGTGGAGGTTAATTATTTTCAATATGGGTTTTGATAAAATAAATACAAAAATTGTGTTTTTTTATCATTTTATTGCATTATTTTTCTAATCATATATTTCTCTCCTCTTTTTATGTAAAAGACAGTGCGAATAAAATTACTAAAAAAAAGTAGAGATAGAGTTAAAAATAATAATAATACTTAAAACACAACCTGATACAAATTGTACTAAAAAGATTTGAAATTGAGTGGGGACACGTGGGCCCATTTGACTGAAAGTGGGTCCGTCCCATAGCATGGACAAGATGTGATTCATGAGATAAGATGAGCAATGCAGTGTGCCCCCATCCATGAACTGAACCAAAAAAGGCAAATGATAAGATCAGTTCACGGGCAAAACACTCCTTTCACTGTCCATAGCAACATTTACCAAAATGCCGAAAGAAGGTGATTAATCAATGCATATACATTCTGAATTGCTTATTTTAAAGAAGCAAACTGCTTATTGCCTTCCTTACCCATGAAATGTACAACTCAATGTGTGCTTCGTTGCCTTTTATTGTATTTGAAAGTGCCGTGATGTTGAAGGGAATTCATTGCTTAAGGTGAAAGTTTTTACCCTTTTGTTTTCTCCAAGTAGAATGAATTTTAGAACATTAATTTTTTGTGTGTTTTAAAAATGAATTTTCTTCCAACATGTTCAGATAGACTTTTGTTCGAGGCAAAAGAGAAAATACATTTATATTTAATCCAAATCATTATATATCTATAGTCTGATAACCATATAACGTGCAACATTTTTAATATTTTTCTGTGAATTGAAAATTTTGGCCAAGTAACGTGTGGTGTTTGGTCGGGACTTTGATCACGCGGTGGTTTTATACTACTTAATAATTTCGTATGAATGAGGGAATTTAATTTCTTGAGATAATGTCCATTTGAATTTAAAATTAAATAAAAATTATCTTGATAAAGCTTAATGTAAATATTTTAATGTGATTGGGATATCTGTCAAAATTAATCTAAATTACATATTTTATTAGAACATGCAATTTTTTTATCAGAAATTATAGAAATTATCTTTTTAACTTTAAAACAAACTGAACCTTAACAATAACAAATGGCAATTTGCGGCCAGGTAAAGTTAATATAATAGACATTTTACAATTCAAACAACGTAAAGTTAATATGTATAATCAGCTGATGTGTCATAGAGCTTAATTAGACATTTATTAAACTGGTCAATAACTCTTTAATGGTAAATTCATGACAAAGAAAAAAAATTAAAAATAAAAATAAAATAAAAATTTTATGTGGACTAAAATTAAAATGCACACTATATTTATAGAACTAATAATGTATTAAACATTTTTTAAACTTATTTTTAAAACATTATTTCAAACATAAATTAATTGTTTACTTTAATATATTTTGAAACTAATTTTACAAAAATCTAAAATAAAATCCGCTTATAACAATTATCGATGCATTAGACTTCTAAAATAACAATACCTAGTCTTTAGCTGCATAACGAATTTGTATATATCGATCTTAATAATAATAATAATAATAATAATAACAACAATGTGTGTCGAAACTATGTAAGTTGATTTAGATTAAGATAAGTTTAAGTAAATATAAGAGAACTTCACCATTTATAATGATTTTATTTGAATCAAACAAAATTCCTTTTATGTAGGAGAAGATACTTATAAAAACAATTATCCAGTCCAACTTCCATCAAACTCATTTTTTATTCTTTTTTTTTTCCTTATCAAACTTTAAAATATCTAAATTTATTGGAACTTTAAGTTTAACAGTGGAAAATGTATATTTTATGGATGTATTTGGATTAGCCCCAATGAACCGCTCATTTTTGCCGGTTCTAATTATACATAGCGTGCAATTTAAGCAAAAGTGGTATTTACTTTGATGTAGCAGTGAATGGCAATGAAAAAGCTTCTTCAAATTCAAGGTTTTCTGCATCTGACTAGTCCACAATTTAAAGGCATTGCAATTCCCACATTAAGTAGGATTAACAGTGGAGTTAGAAAGTAGCAAAAGTCTTTACACGAATGAAAGCATTTTTACTTGTTCTCAAATATGGTAAGTTCCATTCTCATAGAAGCTTCACCAGAATGTGTCAACAACATCCACTTTGGCGAGGGTGCAGTTTCGTCAAACATATGAAGAAACGACCTCAAATTCTATCCAAACGTGAAATCAGTCTCCCCTTGCGTGGCAGTCATAACCTGACCTTGTTTTTTCATTCATTAAGCATTGCATAGCAACAAGCAAAACATTAATGAATATCTATATATTTTTTATTTCGGAATAAAATGGTATTATGATATTTGGAAATGTACATGTTACATATACATCACTTTAATCTCCCATTTGAGTTGGATGTACAATCCAGTCCTAGAGCTATTTAAAGAAGTTTCATGGTAGTATCTGTGTAAGGAAAACCTTTCCAGTCTTTCGTAGTGCACAATTTTTTTTCCCCTTAAAATAATAACATTCATTTTTGTAGTTAATTTTTTTTTCTGATTTCATAATTTTTGAATTAAAAATAAGAAAATTACCAAATAGAAAAAGTTAACTGCTAATGAGTAAATACTATAGAAAATATCAGAAATTTACTCATAAAATAATGAAAGGACTAAAGGGCCAATTTATTCATAAATTTAAGGGCTGGATTTCAATAATTTAAATCAAGAGGTAAATTGAGAGTGAGAAAAATTTTCAGGACTAAAGGGCCAATTTATTCTAATTAATTATTTAGCTTAATTGTAATTTTAATCTATATATATTTTAACTTATATACAATTTTAATTTTTATAGTTTTAATTGTTCATATTTAATTTTTTATTTTTTACTTTAAAAGTAAGAATTTTATTATATTTTAAATTTTTATTTTTTTATTTAATATTTTGTATATTTTTTATTTATTTACTTTGCATAAATCAATAAAATATCATACTGCCATTATATTTTTTATTAATTATTTAATGAAATTAAAAAAACTTAATTTAAATATTTAAAAAATTTTAAAAAATAAATTTACATAACTAAAATTAAGAAAACTAAAATCAAAATATAAAAACTAAAAAAATTTACACTTGCATATAATACTATCTATGTATACTTAGATTTCAATTTCCTTTAGTGATAAGCAGCCACCCTAATTAAGGAAAAGGACATGGAAATGTGCCTCCCATGGCAGACTCCATCAGCATCAAAAGGCCTTAATCATGATAAAAGTCAACAGCAGCAAATTAAGAACAGTATATTCTTCCAGCATCAAATATTTGTTTTTCATTAATCGGAGGAGAATTAGGCTCAATTTAGATAGGGAGATAAAATTCATTCTTCAACCTGTGTTATATATATATATATATATATATATATATATATATATATATATATATATATATATATATATAGATCATTCTTCAACTTCATTTCCTTAACAAAGTTTTATTAAAACAACACAGTTATTCACAATATAAAAAAACCTTGTGTTATATCCAGATCATACAAATAATTTAAAAGCTATCAAGCTCATTAAAGACTATTTTTGTGTGTTATGTAAAGAGCAGAAACTTCTTTATCGTTCAAAACGTTTTACCTGTGACCATTCTGCAGCCATTTTGGGCCAAATGAAAGCGACGGGAAAACTGTAACATAATGGCTTACTTTATGTATATCCATGAACATGGTAGTATGCCCTACATATTATGTGTTTTCTTAGGCAACAATATTAGCTAGTAACATTATTGTCCAAAATCAACCATGTTATATGAAGTGCTAGCATGGAAGGAAATTTACATGGCGAGGAGGAAACCACTGAGAGATCAGCAACACTGTTCCAAAACAGCTAACCATGCATACTCTTTGCTTTGGCGTCCCTACCAACATATTAATTCCCATGTATAAGACAAAATTTGTCACCTGCCAATATAGGCAAGCATTTTACATGTATTATTGCTCTAGCCAACTTTCCCAATTTCAGAGAGATAATTGTCAATTGGTTTAGTTAAGGGAAAGCAAAACTAAAAGAAGGTTGGG